ATACTTGTTCTTAATCGTTACCTTGTTCAACTGCCTATAATCAATGCACATCCTCATAGTGCCATCATTCTTCTTCACAAATAGAACTGGCACACCCTAAGGTGACACACTAGGCCGAATGAACCTTTTATCAAGGAGTTCCTAAAGTTGCTCCTTTAATTCCTTTAACTCCGTCGGTGCCATACGATACGGTGGAATAGAAATGGTCTGAGTGCCCAGCACCAGGTCAATACCAAAATTAATATCCCCGTCCAGTGGCATGCCCGACAGGTCTACAGGAAACATATCGGGAAAATCCCTCACAACTGGAACAGAATCAATACTAGGAGTCTCAGCACCGACATCCCTCACAAAGGCTAGATACTAAAGACAACCCTTCCCAACCATACGCTGGGCTTTCAAGAATGAGATCACTCTACTGGAAACATAATCAGTCACACCTCGCCACTCGATCTGTGGCACGTCCGGTATATCCAATATGACTGTCTTAGCATTACAGTCCAGAATAGCACGACACGGAGATAGCCAATCCATGCCCAAAATGACATCAAAATCCACCATACATAATAATAAAAGATCTACATGGGTCTCCAGACCCTCAATAATCACCACACATGACCGGTACACATGGTCTACAATAACAGTATCACCCACCGGGGTAGATACATGAACAGGTAAAGCAAGAAACTCATAGGGTGTACCCAAATAACGAGCAAAGTATGATGACGCATAAGAAAAGGTGGAGCCGGGATCAAATAATACAGAGGCATCTTTGTGGCAGACTGAAACAATACTTGTAATAACAGCATCTGAAGCAATAGCATCGGGTCTGCCTGGAAGTGCATAAAAACGAGCCTAACAGCCACTTGATCGACCTCCCCTTCTGGGGAGACCCCTAGTTGACTGACCTCCACCCCTAGCTGGCTAGGCGGGCGGTGGTAAAGTAATTGGAGCTAAAGCCGATGACTGACCCATCTGCTGAGATGAACTCACAAGACGACGAGGGCACTGCCTCCACATATGACCCATCTCATCATACTCATAACAACTCCCAGGTGCTGGAGAAGGGGACTGAAGGGAACCCCTCGCACCGGAGTGACTAGCAGATGCACTCGACATAGAAGAGCCCTGGACTGATGGAGCACGGGTCGAACTCTGAGCTAGAAGGGCACTAAGTGATGACTAGCCCTGATAAGAACTGTGAGAACCATGACTCGACGACGCCCCACGATAACCTGGGCGAGCTGGCTGAGCATGCCTGAATGGACGGCCTCTGCCGTGTTGAAACTGACCTCTCGAAGGAGTACCACTGTAACTACCAGATCCTCGAGGCCTCTTGGTTTCCCTCTCATGTCGCTCCTAGCGACAAACAGACTCAATCTCACAGACAATATTCACAACATCCTCGAAGGTAGCACCAATCACCCTCTCACTGGTCATGAGAATACGAAGCTGATAAGTGAGGCCATCAACAAACCTCTTAATCCTCTCTCTATCTTTTGGGACCATCCAAATAGCATGACGAGCTAACTCAGAGAACCTCATCTCGTACTGCGTCACCGTCATCTCTCCCTGATGCAACCACGCAAAATCCCTACGCAGCTCCACTCTTTGGGACTGGGGCACATACTTCTCCAGAAAGAGAATGGAGAACTGCTGCCAAGTAAGGGGTGCTTCACCAACAGGCCTACGCCTCTCAAAAGTCTCCCACCAAGTGAAGGCAGCTCCAGAAAACTGATAAGTAGTGAAAGCAACCCCGCTAGTCTCTAGAATACCCGTTGTACGAAGCATCCTCTAACACTTATCTAAAAAACCCTGGGTATCCTTGCCCTCTGCACCACTGAAGGTCGGAGGCTGCAGTCTACCAAACCTCTTCAACCTACGATGCTCATCCTCCAGCATAGCAGGAACTAAATAGTCCTGAGCAGTTGTAACCGGCTGGGTTGGATGTGCCCTCGGCGTCTGAAGTCCCTGCACTACCTGCTAAGGTGTGCAAGCGGCGGGGGTATGATTGTCTCCCCCGGCCTAAGAAGTAGCTGCGGTTATAGTGGCTGAAACCGCATGAGCTAGGCCAGTGCAAACTGATAAGATCTGGGCCAAGGCCTCTTGAAGACCCGGAATCACAATGGGCACAGCTGGTGCCTGAGCTGGTGCTGCTGGAGCGTCCATAACTAGGACATGATCCTGAACTGGGGCATCTAGTGGATCTGCAGGTGCTGGCCCTTGTAACACTCCTCAAATTTATAAAAGTTTCGAGACATGCTAATTATAGAATTAAATTATTATTATTATCTTGCCTATAGTAAATATATATATATATATATACACACACACTTACATAATTGGATATACAATTAGGGGAATATTAATAATTTTAATATTATTAATTATTAAAAGTGGGTATCACTAATTATTAGTTAAGTTAAAAAAAGGGAAAAGGGTCCCTAAAGCCCATAAAAAGGGCTGCTGGAAAACAAAGGCTTCAAGCCTTATATGTTTGTTCTGACATTCACGAAAAGGCAGAAGCCTTAGACGAAAAACAGAACATTGTTCTGTTACGCCCAAATCAAAATAAAATTCTAGGGTTCTTTACCAATCACTAATTCTTGAATTCAAGTATGTAAATTTTTCTATTGTCAATTATTCTACAGTGGTAATAGGTAAGAATTAAATAGTTAATTCCCTTCTTCCTCTATATCATCAGTAAATTACATGTTTAGGTGTGAAACTTTAAAATTAATTAAAATGCATTGGTTGTTGTAGAATCAATTGTTTGACGGGTATAAATTGGACTGGGGTCTACGTATTGGCTCGAGAAGTTTTGAGGTGAGTGGATATAACCCTTTACTAAAGTGGTTTAACTCACAAAAGCACGCACACAAGGTGTTTTGATGAATTGCATAAAAGAGTTAATATATACTTAATTGGAGTAGTAAGTACCTATTAGCTTAGAATTATTTTCTAGCTAAAGTTTAGATGATTATTTTGATATATGTGCATAAATTTCAGATTTTTATGTTATTCTTATATGTCATTTTCATGTTGAAAATTCATGAAGGATCAAGAATCTTTATAAATACTTTTGAATGTTTATTTCATTCTTATGTCATGCCTTACATTTAAGGATACCAGTATGAGTATGTATAAAATATTTAGACTTGAAAAGTCACAAGAAGAAGTTTTATAAAGAAAAGATTTTTGGGAGTATCCGTTATTCTGAGAAGGGGTCATCGTCCAGGCCTAGGGTCCTGACCAAGGCGTTGACTTCCTGAAACTACTTGTTCCAAAGTAGGGAGCACACGAGCCGAGGGTCTCATTGCTAATAATTTACTTAGCCATGCTAAGGTATGAGACATGAGTATTGAGAATCATGAAGCGAGTGACACCTCATGGATTGGGCCTATTCGATCAGGCTGGGATCGAACGTGTGCCGATCATATGGTGACTGAGACAGAATTAAGTCAGGATAGTTGGAACTCCCAAAGTATAAAGTGAAGTATTTTTTTAGAAAGAAAAAGAAAATAATTTCCTTTAGAATATTCATAAACTGCTATTATGCAATTATTTAGAGTTATTCTTATAAGCTTTATGTTTTACATGCATTTAGAACATTTTCTCATAATATATATGTTATTAAAGTTTCGCCCCCTGTTGTTGAAACTAACTGAGTACAATGGATGGTACTGAAGTTCTCTTTTGGGAACCTACGTTGGTCTACGGTACAACATAGGAATCGGATTTGCAGGCGAGCAGGCTACGAGTTAGGACTTCCTTCTCTTCCAGTGCTATTAGTGAGCTCCACTTTTGTTTGTGGAGTATTCCTTAGAGTCATCTTTATTTAGTTATTTCTTTGTTACTTAGAGAAATGGCCAGGAAATCTCATGTCCCGAGCAGTGCATCAGTTTATCCGTAGGGGCTTCATTACATAGTCGTTGGGTTGAGATTCAGATGTTTTTGATAATAACTTAGTAGTAATTTAGTAGTTACTACGAATAAATTTTTGGAGTTGATTTATTTAAATATCTAAATTAATCAAAAGTATTTGGTTAGAGTATTGCCTTGTTGCATATAAAGTTTGAAGTTATAATAGATTTGATAAGTAGAGATGGTTCGCTCGGTCATGTTTAGTGATAGAGTGTTGGTCTCGGCTTGTTTAGAAAATGGGTCGTGACAAACTTGGTATCAGAGCCTCAGGTTTATGGAGTCCAAGGGGTTTATGAAGCCGTGTTAGTAGAATCTTGTTTATGTGTATGAAGTGCGCCATACTTATAAACATGAGGCTACCAACATTTAGGAAAAGTCTTATTTTCTCATACTTTAGATAATGCAGTAGAGTCTACCTCTAAGAAATTATCTAATTTATTCATTTCCCCAAAACTCACAGAAATGGCTCGTACTCGCAACTCTGACACAGACACTCGGGATGTTGCTCAAGAAACTATCACTACTATTGTGGCTCAGGGTAGACTAAGAAGGATTCAACTCAGGAAAGGAGGGGAAAATCCACAAACAGAGTCCAAGTACCCCGGGTTGAACAAGAAGAAGGGGTGGAGCATGTTGATCCAGTACCTCAGGATCCAGTACCGCCCCCAACAACAGCTCCAGCTCAAGCAACTATATCTCCTGAGGTGGGTCAGATGTTTAATGTTGTCAACAGTGCTATGGAGATGTTTAAAGCCTTTATGGCCAACCAGAACAAGAGAAGAGATGAGATTCCACCTCAATCAAATAGACAGAGCAATTCTGAGTCCTCAAGAGTGAATGAATTTTTGAAGTTGAGTCCTCCAGTGTTCCATGGTTCTATAGTTGATGAAGATCCAATGTTGTGGCTGGAGGGTGTCAAGAAAGCCCTCCGAGCGATGAAAGCATTTGATGATGAAGCTGTGGAGCTAGCTGCTTACCAGCTTAGAGATGTGGTCGGCGCTTGGTTTGAGATGTGGGAAAAGGAAAGAGATGAAGATGATGGTCCGCCTACTTGGGAAGAATTTGAAGAGGCCTTCATGGCTAACTTTATCCCAGAAGAGGATAGGGAAGCAAAGGCTATAGAATTCGAACAGCTCAAGCAAGGGAATAAAAGTGTGCAAGAGTACTACATGGAATTCATAAGGTTAGCTAAGCATGCTCCTCACATGGTTAAGACTGAAAAGGCAAAGATTTGCAGGTTTGTTGGCGGTTTAGCTAACCACATTAAGGATACGACATCAGCTGCAGCAGTAGGGATGGAAGCCTTCTCTTCTGTTGTGGGATTTGCCAAGCCCTTAGAAAAAGACAGACAACTAAGGAAAGAAGAAAAAGAGCATAACAAGAAAGCCCGGACAACGGGAAGGTTTAATGGTACATCCAGCGGAGGTGGAAGGGATTCCTCTAATAAGGAGTCATTAGCACCAGCTCAGTCTAATCATCAGTTAGGTTGTGGGTCTTCCTTCAGACGTACCTAGAGTTATGGAAATTAGTCTCGCCAGAATCAGAATTTTAGGACACCATCCTCGCATAGCCAGAGTTATGCTGAGCAACATTCACACAAACAAGGTCTTTGTGGAACATGTAAACGGCAACATTCAGGTCAGTGCAAGCTCGGGTTTCATGGTTGCTACCATTGTGGAGACATTGGTCATATAAAGTCCAACTGCCCAAAGTTGCGACGTAATCTTAGTGGTGGATCAACTCGTCCTTCTAGTTCCTCAGCTACTGTAGTTGCACCAACTCAAGCTCATGGTTCTCATAATCAGGCCGGACATAGAGCAGGCAGAGGTGCAGACCGAGTTACTTAGGGAGGGGGACAACCCCGTTTGTTTGCTACAATTGATCGTCAGAGTGCAGAGGCATCTACAGAAGTTATTACAGGTATACTTTTAGTCTGCTCACATAATGCTTATGCCATAATGGATTTAGGTTCAACGTTTTCATATATGACTCCATACTTTGCAATTAACCTCGGACTAGAACCTGCACAACTTAGTGAGTCATTCCTAGTATCTACTCCAGTTGGCGAGTCAGTGAAAGTCACCAGAGTCTAAGAGATTGTATAGTTTCAGTCCAAGGTCGCAACACCAACGCAGATCTCATAGAGTTATAAATGGTGGATTTCGATGTGATCATGGGTATGGATTGGTTATCTTCCTGCTATGCCATGTTAGATTGTCATGCCAAGATAGTCAGGTTCTAATTTCCAAATGAAGAAGTCTTAGAGTGGAAGGGTGTGAGCATGTGATTTTTGCCCTATATGAATTACTTCCATACATTCAAAACAAAATAATCTCTTTCATTATTTGCAAATTTCGTAGCATTTTTGATATTGTTTGCATTTGTCTGTGCATGTTTAATTTTGTTAAGTTAATGAAAATGCAAAAAATATGTTGCATGTGCATTTAGGATTTAACTTTGCATTTCTAAGAATTAATTAGTAATTAGTTGTTTTATAATGGGAAAATAAAAAAAAATAGTTTAATTTGTACTTTTAATCTTATTTTTGATTTTTGAGTAGTTTTATTTTAATTTGGGTTTGTTTTTAATTGTGACAATTATTATTTAGGTTAATTGGTGTTTTGATAGGGTAATTAGGTTTTAGGAGTTAATTTAGATTGTAATTTAATTTTGGAAAATAAGAAGAAGAAAAAGAATTGTTGGAAAAATTGATTTGAAATTGGAAAAGATGAAAGGCAAAGAATAAGAGGTTAGTTGGGCGATGTTTAATTTAAAAATTCTCAAGCCCAAACCCTTCCCTCTCTGAAACCTGTTTAAACCCAGCCCAAATATACCCCCAACCCGGTTCGTTCCCCCCATTAAACCAAACGACCTATTTCGTCGCCATCCAACCAGAGCCGTCAATTTCCCTTCATCCAACGGACGGGAACTGGGCGTGGTTTTATTATATAATTGTCAGATTTTTAGACCCCCCCATCTCTCGTCTCCTTCAACTCGCCCTTTCAGAGACTCCAAAACTTTAATAGCTTCCCTAATTCCCACCACCACCAAGCTCGGCGGCGCCGTTCCCAAATCGCTCCATCTTTACACCACATAACCACCATGACCCCCTTGTTCCAAATCCCCACTCCGCTTCCCTCGAATCTTGCAAGAACGTCTCAAATTTTAGATCCGATTTCGAGCCTTAAAAGTTCAAAACCAATTCCTGTCGAATCTGGTGGCATGCATTGACTCAAGCCTTTGTTTTCCACGATTAGGAGGCTGATGCACTACAAAACTGATGTTGTTCGTCTGTTCTTGATAGAGAACAAGTGAGTAGCATCAGTTTTGTGTGAATCAGAATATCAAGTGTAATTTCGAGTTTAATCGTTGAGTTTCTATTCATCTCTGTATCCATTTTTGGTTTTATTTCACCTTTTGTCCTTCTTCTTTTCTTCTCCTATTTCTTTGGTTGAAAACTTGACCAATTTTTTGTAGTTTGAATTGTTTTCTATTTGATTGTTCCCTCTATCTCTTTTACAAATCGTAAAAAACTTGTTCTCCGATTTTCTTGGCATGTTGAGTTTTGTTAATGTCATAGTCAAATCTCTGATCTTCCCTTTTAGTTTTAGTCTCATTAGTTTAATTTAATTAGTTTCATTCCCTGCTTATTTGTGTTATTAATCAGTCATGTAGTTAAATTTTAGTCTTCAAATCATGTAAATGTTTGTTTTCTCATGCTCTTGGTAAAATCACAGAAGCTAGTTTGGATCAGTGGTTGTTTGGGCTTTGGGTCATTTCTGACCCATTTGCAAGAGAAGCTCGTTCAGTTGGGTTTAATTTACTGGGTCGACTTAACCCATGAGGTAAGCTAGGGTAATTGACAGGAGTTTTAAGGGTAGTTTAGGGAGATTGGGTAGGGGAATCTCTTGTAACTGATTGAGGGAAGCTTCCTAGAAGCTGGCTTTGGGACTTTACTGAAAATACTGATTTTAAGCTAGGGATTGAATAGCAAAAATGAAAATATCAAAAGGTTTAAAGTGCAAATAAGAATCCCTTTTATGCTGCTCTAAGACTTGCCTATAAAGGCATCTTTTCTTCTTTCACAAGGGAGATTTTGAAGAGAGAAAAATTGCAGAGAAACAAAAGCGGCTGAAGAATTGGAATGAAGTTACTGTTTCATTGAGTTCCTTCTCTGTTTTTTTTTTACAATTTCCAATTTGCTGAAACAATCGTTTATTCAATGAGTGGTGGAAATGGATTATATCTGGTTTTCAAAAGCTTGGTTTGAAGTTGATCTATTCCCAACTTGATTGGGACTGTTTCTCTACTGCTTCATATCAATTTTCCCTGGTTGGAATTGATTTGTTGAAACTAGTGTTGCTCTGCTGTGGTTTTTGCTGATACCTCATTTCCTTGCTTCCTTTATTTCATTTCCAGGTACACGACCTTGTAACTCCTTTGGTTGTGAAGTGAATTCGAAGAATAACATGTTGTGAAGAAATGAAGATCTTGCTACCTGCTGATTGGTTTCCTTCTCTTTCTGCTTTTATTTTGTTTCCATTCGAGTTCTTATGTCACATTTACTATCTAAGGTGTTTGAATTAATGTAGTGTTATGAACATTTGAGGGTTATTATGGGATTTGTAATTGGACTTTGTTTGGTGTTCACTCATTCAATCTGTGCTAGAGTTATCTGATAAGGAATTGTATGGAGTAGTCTAGGGTTTGTTGAGTAAATGTGTTCGCCTAACAGTATTAGAACAAAGTGTGTATTCTACAAATTATATTGACTTCTCTGTATTCATTTGCTAGAGTACGAATCTGTGTGAGTGAGAGTTTAGGTATCTTGTTGAGATCCAAGTGATATATATGTTAGCTTCAAGGATTTTGATAGTATTTGGAACATGCCTACTTCGAGTTGAGTTCATTAATTAATTGGAAATGTAACTCGCAGGTGCGTTTTAATTAGTTATGCATGGGCACTTTCGATTGGAAATGGTGTTAGAGTTTCTGAACGGCTAATAAATTATCTTGTACTTGAATAACTTGAATCCATTAGTAAAGAGTTAATTTCATCTCATGCTACATGTAGTGTCTTGATTGATCTATAATTAATTCATTGGGTATAAGAGACGGGTTCAGAAACTTAGGCCCAATGTTGGCCCAATTAATGAATCCAAGGCCATTTGAGATTGCTAGTGACCTTCCCCGCATTAAAGGAATTGTGCACAAATATTCTGATGTTCATGCAATGGGGGGATTCGATACTGAGTCGTGTGGTCAGTGGCTGTAAGGCTCCGAATTTGGGCTCGCTCTGAGGCCCAAATCTGAAAGTGCCTCCGAATTAGATCTGGGTCGTCTCCCTTTCGATGGGCCATCACCTGCCTGTGCTCTTCTAATATGTTCATCTTAATGTCATGTTCTGCTAGCATATGATTTTCTAATATTGAGTTTGAAACTCTCACATTAGGATTAGAAGCTATTCACATAGTTCAATTTAGCTATTCCCTCTTTAAAATTGGAATCGAAGTTCGCCGTGACAAACAAAATTTCAAATGCACGACCCTCGGTTAATTAATGTGTGAAATCCTTAGAACTTGAGGCGTGCCATTTAGCAAATTTCCCATGGCCCTCGCAAAGTTAAAAACGCGTAGTTGCTTTAGGCGCGTTATTTTAATAATATTACCTTCCTAAGCTCGGGTGTGTATTTCATGTGACCCAAATCCAAATCTCAACAACGTTAAATAAAATGTGTCATAGACCGCGGGTGCAATTCATGTGGCGTGGTTCAAGATGTGTTTTAGATAATGTTGAATCTTCCTAAAATTAATTAAAAGCGGTTAATAAGCTAAAATATACCATAGGCTAAAATATGTATTAAAATCAGATAATTATGCCAATAATAACAGTTGAGCGACCGTGCTAGAACCACGGAGCTCGGGAATGCCTAACACCTTCTCCCGGGTTAACAGAATTCCTTACCCGGATTTTTGGTTCGCGGACTATGATACAGAGTCAATCTTTTCCTTGATTCAGGATTTGAACCGGTGACTTGGGACACCACACAATTATCCCAAGTGGCGACTCTGAATTTAATAAATAGATAATCCCGTTTCGATTGTCACTTTAATTGGAAAAACTCCCTTATACACCCTCTCGGGGAGTAGTAAAAAAGGAGGTGTGATAGCTCTGGCAACTCTGCTAGGGAACAAACCCAGAATCTCTGGTTCAGGGTTCAGAATTCGAGTTTAGATGAATTGTTATAATTGGCTTTATTAATTATCTGATTTTGTGTGCTAAGTATTGCTTTGATATTCTGTGAACTGTATATAACTGCTACGAAACCCTTCTTCTCTTTGAGTCTTCTACATCATGGAGGAGTGTGCACTTCGTGTGACTTCTCTTATGTTAGAGTCATATCCCAAATTTTAG